AATTACCAGGTGGCGTGGGTAGTTTGATACAGCTGCCCCGCGTCCAGACGCCCTCACACCGGTCTCCGAGGTTATCTTGAGGTTATCTTGAGATGATTTCGGGGCTTTAGTGTCCCCGCGGCCCGGTCTTCACCCCCAGGAAGCAGCCCGTGACAGCTGACTAACTTCCAGGTACCTATTTACTGCTAGGTAACAGGAGCATCATGGTGAAAGAAACTCTGCCCATTGTTTCTCGCCGGCGCCGGGGATTGAACCCGGGACCACAGGATCACGCGTCCAGTGCTCTATCCGCTCAGCCACCGGCTCCCTGCAGAGGACATGGGGAATTTGCTCGTTTTCTGTATAGCTAGAGCGGCATTAGTGTGGAGTGTATTTATGTAATATAAATGGTTAAAGGTGTTGACATGAATGGAGTAAATTATAATGAAGCATCTTGTAATATTAATGTATGATAAAGTGGGCCGTGACCACATAACTTCCGCACTCTAAATATTGCTGACTTTAAACACCTCCAGTCCTGGCCGCGTTTACTATAAAGAATTAATAAGTCACTAGAGCAAATATTTAACATTAACCACCTGAATAGCTCCCCCCCCCCACCCCCCAGTTCGGGTCAGCAGGCCTTGATAGTAATGGTGAGCTCTGCACCTGGTGTCCGCCACTCGCACTAACCGTGCTTGTTGCACGTCTATGTGTTGATGCCTTACTTGGTGCGGGGTCCGGGGCAAAACCTGGGAATGCCCTTGTTAATGTGCTACATATCCAGATGAGGGATTTTGTAAGTCTACAACTTTACGGGTGAGGCGAGATGTGGGGAAATTCCGGCAGGAGTGCATCTTTCTAGATTCCATGGGCAGTTGTGAAGGCAAATCCTTCACCCTGGCCTTGTGGGGCAGGTGCAGTGAAAATGATTAGTGTTAATCTCGAAGACTTATGTAGTAGTGCGAAACGCATCTTTTTAAATGTCGAAATGTGTACTGATGAGGCTCTCTGGGCGTTTTGGGAAGGTGCTGGACATTCGTTGGAACAGGATTACCTCCTGACCTGTGAAGTGTTTATTCCAAGGAAGCCAAGCGCTACAGGTGCCCCCTTGTACGGGGAGTACCCTCTTCAGTGTCGGTGTTTACTCTCCACAGAGTGTATTGTGTTCAGCCCCGGACGTGTTATCGGTGTGGAGTCTCGGGGCACGTTGCCGCGGCTTGCCTGGTGGACGCGGCAGATCGGGTAAATGTCGCTACAGGTGCCCCCTTGTACGGGGAGTACCGTCTTCAGTGTCGGTGTTTACTCTCCACAGACTGTATTGTGTCCAGCCCCGGACGTGTTATCGGTGAGGAGTCTCGGGGCACGTTGCCGCGGCTTGTCTGGTGGACGCGGCAGATCGGGTAAATGTCATCAGAGAATCTGACTTTGTGCCGCTGAAGACTCCCGGTGTTCAGGTCCGGTGACGGGCGACGGTCTCCTGCCTGTGAGTGTAGCGAGGAATCCTGTCATGTGTACAAGTCAACACTGCCTGTTAGCGGAGCGTCCTGTGGCACATGGAGTCAACTTTGTGGCTTCGAGTGTGAGGAAGGTATCGGAAGGTGCTGTGGTATTCGTAGCATAGTTTCTGCAGAAGTGCACCTCGCGCCGCCTGTGGTGGACGATGTGGGAGACGGTTCCTCGGGATCAGACTGAACTTGTGAGGCCCAGTGTGGTTGGGATCTTCCGTCGGTAGTGGTTGGTGCGGGTGCTTGCTCCTCTTCTCGGCTGGTGGCGTTCGTTCCCCCATTCGATGAAGGTTCTGCCCGTACAAGAACGTAGAAAGCTGCTGGCGGATATATTGCAGGCCCATAACTGTGAGGGAGAGCGATGGGGAGTAGAGGGTAAGGAGCGTGTAGATGCTGTTTAGGCATCATCGGTAACGAGTGTGGGTGTGGACGGTTCTTCTATCTCAGGTCATGTTGGACTGTACTAGGTGATCAGCCCCACGTCTAGCCGGAAGAGGCCCAATTGTGCAGCAGGCAGATCACCTTCTGTGGGTGCGTCGTGACTCTTAGAGTGCACTCTTTTTTTTTTGTCCTCTACTGAATCTTTCTTCCTGTAATTACTCGCCGACCCACTGGGGGAAGCTGGTGATAGTGCGAGTCAACAGAGTTGTGGTCACCACCTGGAGGACGGCGGTGTTCACCTCGTACAGCAGACGGCGAGGGTGAGCTGGGTGGGCGCCACTGCGGCCAGGCCCACACCACCACCCACCACCCACTCCTGTGTGTGTTGCAGTGCACACAGCAGGTCCTCCATCAAATTTGCAGATGACACTAAGATCTATGGTTAAGTGGGAAGCGAAGGTGATATTGAGACCTTGCAAAGAGATCTACATGAACTCCACAAATGGTCAGAGGACTGGCAAATGCTTTTTAATGTCCATAAATGCAAGACCTTGCATGTGGGGCACAACCATCCACGTCCCAACTACCAAATTAACATCATTACCTTACAACAGATTGATGAAGAAAAGTACATTGGAGTCAGAATTCAACATTTACTGAGAGTTGCACAACAAGTGGGAGCGGCAGTACAAAATACTAACAAACCCGAGGAATAATCAAGCGTACCTTTACCTTAATTAAGGTAAAGAAGGTAGTGATTAAATTGTATAAATCTCTGATACCTATATATTTTTGGGGGGGGTGGGGTGGGAGGGGGGCTTGACAGGGCTTGCTTCCCTGTCCCCCATTTGGATGATTGCATCAGGCATGGAGACCTCATCTTCAGAATGGCATAGTTTCTCTGGAGAAAGTGCAACACCGGGCAACAAAAATCATTCCAGAACTAAGTCAACTCACGTATCAGGAACGGTTGAGGGCCACAGGGCTAACAACACTACAAACCAGGCATGACTTTGCGGATCTCATTGAAACTTTTAAAATACTGAACAATTTGAATGATGTTGATCCGGACAATTTCTTCAAAAGGTCAGAAGTAACACAAACCAGGAGCAACGGTTTCAAGCTCAACACGCCACAATGTAGGACTGAGAACAGGAGATGCTTTTTCACCCACAAGGTTATAAACCCATGGAAACACTTACCCGCCGAACCCGTAAATGTCACAATTCTGTTGGGTTTTAAAATACAACTGGAAAAGATCATCAGGGCAAATGGGGGGGACCTTTGACAAGTCGCCGGCTTCATGTCCTCATCGAGGTCACTAGTATTAGTGGCCCCTCAGGTAAATTTCAGGATATCATTTTTGGAAGAGTCACATCCTACATCCTTGTAATCACACATCTGGCACAAGGTAACAGACGTGTTTTAGTTAAAATACTCCAAAGTAATCTTTCTCACGATAAACTTCCATCCATTACCATCCCAGCATCACTCTGAGGACAAATCGCAGATTTCCTACCGTTCAAATTTCTGCAGAAACGCATGCTGCACCTAGCAATCCATTCACCATAGTCCACCCTGAACTACTACCAGTGCTACCACTCCGTCCACACAGAAAATGTACAGGTCACTCTCACAGATAACCCCTAACTACAGCAAACTCAGCAGGAGGCTTGCCTCCACCCACCCTCTACCCTTCAGACTGAACTATTTGCCTTGCTCCTTGCACTGAAATGTGTACAAGTCTCCAAACTTGATACATTAATTGTAAGTGACTCCTTATCATCCTTAAATGCTCTCAACTCTTTAAGACATAACTGTAACATGCTCGTGTCCGAAGCTAGACACAAATACAACAAAATTATTAAGGATGGTAACAGAGTCCATTTCATGTGGTCTCCATCTCATGTTGGCCTTCGAATGCATGATAGAGCTGATAAGTTAGCCAAAGAATCTGCCTTTAAAGGAGCCGTTGAGTGTAACCTTGGATTGTCAATGAGCAATCTGAGAGCAGCAGTACACCGAGAACTTCAACAAGATCTTGTAGATCTGAGGCAAAGTGAAATTGACACCAGCAATTCCATCTATCATCATACTATCATGCAAGAGGAGCCACACATCTATGGTTCAGCCAATAAAATCAGCAGACTTCTAGATGTTACTACTGCTCGACTTAGACTTGGTTACAAGTATCTCTGGTAATTCTCATTATCTGCTGATGTAGACCTGACCAAATGTAAACTGTGTCAACAAAATTATTCGCACACCCTCCGTCACTATGTGATGGAGTGCGAAAAGATACGTGAATTTAGAGACAATTCTATAACCAATGTGTAAATCTTTCATTCAAAATGATCTACTACCAGAAATTTTAGCCAAATAGCCCCAGTTTGCTAACTGTAGGTAGTAACTAAGTGATTGTAACCTATCCACCGCTGCCCACTGGATGGGGGGCGGTGTGCAGGACAAACATATAAATTGTGACACTAGCTCTCTACATATGTCAGTTGCTTAATTTAGAAACTAAATTTAGAAATTAGAACTAAATTTAGAAAGTAGAAGTTTAGAAAAAATCTGCTATCAGAATAATAACAAATTCTGCTTTCAGACAACACTCAGCCCCCTTGTTTAACTCCCTTAACATGCTAAACATAATCTCACTCCACAAATTTTAGTGATGAGCCTAAGGCATAGGCTTTGTGTTAGCCTATGATGTGATAGATTTCAAGCAAAGACTATTGCCCTGGAAACACAAACCGAAACTGTCTCTATTTTCCGCTTGTTACAACTTGTAATAAAGTTGTTACATCTTGGCTTAATGTGTTTATGACGTATTAGAACGTTGTTACAACTTGCTATATTGGTTGTCATAACTGGTTAGGTGTTAAAACTTGTTCAAACGTTGTACCAACGTCGTAGTTTCGGTGTGTGTTTGGCGGGTGGCACCCTCTACAGAGTAGCACCCAGAAGAGTGGCACCTCCAGCAAAGTGGAACCCCCCAGCAGAGTGGCACCCTCTTCAATTCATGCTTCACAACAGGCAGGTGAACAAAGACACCCCATCTTACATTAACAAGCAGGAAGTATTTCGACGTGTTATATATGTACTGTATAGCTGATTAAAACTATTTCAGAATATTATGTAAATTTTTATTATCTGTATACAGAACATTGATCAGGAGCTGGTAATGAGGATAACAGAGACAGAACACTTACGGTATTCGGTCAAAATGAACTCAAACAGAGGTATAAAAACACATTGAATCCGACTAACATGGATGTTGGCGGGGTTAATGCCATATGGTGAAAGGTATTCACAATTCTTTTTATGTTGTGACGTACTCTAGTGAAGGCTCTTGTTGTTGTTGTAGGTTGAGACGTACTCTGGTGAAGGCTCTTGTTGTATGTTGAGACGTACTCTAGTGAAGGTTGTTGTTGTTGTAGGTTGTGACGTACTCTAGTGAAGGCTCTTGTTGTTGTATGTTGAGACGTACTCTAGTGAAGGCTCTTGTTGTTGTTGTAGGTTGAGACGTACTCTAGTGAAGGCTCTTTTTGTTGTAGGTTGAGACGTACTCGGGTGAAGGCTCTTGTTGTTGTAGGTTGAGACGTACTCGGGTGAAGGCTCTTGTTGTTGTATGTTGAGACGTACTCTAGTGAAGGCTCTTGTTGTTGTTGTAGGTTGAGACGTACTCTAGTGAAGGCTCTTGTTGTTGTTGTAGGTTGAGACGTACTCTAGTGAAGGCTCTTGTTGTTGTTGTATGTTGAGACGTACTCTAGTGAAGGCTCTTGTTGTTGTAGGTTGAGACGTACTCTGGTGAAGGCTCTTGTTGTTGTAGGTTGAGACGTACTCTGGTGAAGGCTCTTGTTGTTGTAGGTTGAGACGTACTCTGGTGAAGGCTCTTGTTGTTGTAGGTTGAGACGTACTCTGGTGAAGGCTCTTGTTGTTGTATGTTGAGACGTACTCGGGTGAAGGCTCTTGTTGTTGTAGGTTGAGACGTACTCGGGTGAAGGCTCTTGTTGTTAACGGAAGTAACATTTACGGCTTCAAGTTATTGGTGATCCAAGAAGCATAGAAGGCCACATTGGTGTAGAGTCCCTGGGTGTTGGTGGAGCCGCACTCTCTGGGGCCCCGGCTGGTAATGCCAACCACGAAGTGCCTGGTGCCCCCGGTGTTGGTGAAGGCCAGGGGCCCGCCTGTAACAAGATCCTACTGTTAATATGGAGAATATTAGGGATTATATTGTTGAGGCTATCGATATATATCGATATATTATTCATGGTTGACGGGGCTATCAGTGAAGGAACCAGTGGAACGAGGCTATCAGAGTGGGAACCAGAGGAATGAGGTTATCAGAGAACCATTACAAGAATCTTCCCACCATACTGGTTTTCTCTACAGGTGTCCTGGTCCTCCCCACTTACCAGAGTCCCCCCCCCTGCAGGTGTCCTTGTCCTCCACACTTACCAGAGTCCCCCCCCTGCAGGTGTCCTTGTCCTCCACACTTACCAGAGTCCCCCCTGCAGGTGTCCTTGCCCTCTCCACCTGCACACAGCACCATGCGACGGTCCGGATAACCTTGTCTCAGAGTCTCACAATATTGCAAGTTTTGGATGGGCAACTGCACTTGCTGCAGAGGGTTGAGTCGAATGAACTCTGACGAATCTGGAATTGATAATTAAGCAAGAATTAATAGATAAAAAGTTGTCTACCAATAGCTCTACTCCTACCTCGTAAAATTCGACATTCTTAGCCCCTGTCAGTTTGGCTTACGCTCCCAAAAGAGTACCAACGATGCGATTATTAGTCTCCTTGATATAATTTACTCAGCCCTTGACAAAATGAGTTTTCAATTGGACTCTTCATTGACCTGATAAAGGCCTTTGATACAGTTAATCACAATTACTTCTTATGTGAACTCCATCATTATGGAATCCGAGGCCATGCACTGGACAATATCCAATCCTATCTTAGTGATAGACACCAATGTGTAGCCATCAATAATATAACCTCTCCCACTCTACCAATAACCATTGGAGAGCCACAGGACAGCATCTTGGGACCTCTTCTATTTCTTATATACATCAATGATCTGCCTAATGTCTCTAACATTCTGAAACCTATTTTGTTTGTTGTCAACCCACATACACTAAATAATGTTCTTAATAATTAACTAAAAAAAGTCCACTTATGGATGTCAACCAACAAACTAACACTTAACATAGAAAAGACCTACTACATCTTATTTGGAAGCAAATCTACAAATGCAATTCAGCTTCAGATAGACAATGTAAACATTAGCAATAAAAATGATGGAAAGTTTCTTGGCCTATTCCTAGACAAGAGACTCAACTTCAGCACCCACATACAACACATAACTAAGGAAGTCTCTAAAACAATTGGTATACTCTAGAAAGTTAGATATTATGTACCTAACTCTGCTCTCATCTCTCTCTATATTATGCACTAATCTATCCCTATCTTAATTATGGTATCTGTGCATGGAGTTCTATCACTGCTTACCACCTCAAGTCCATCATCAGTCAAGTCCATCAGATTAATAACAAATTCTGCTTTCAGACAACACTCAGCCCCCTGTTTAACTCCCTAAACATGCTAAACATAATCTCACTCCACAAATTCTCTTGTATCAATTACATTTACAAAACCCTGTTCTTAAATGCAAATCCTGCTCTGAAACTCTCCCTGGACAGATGTAATAGGACCCATTATCACCACACCAGAAATAAATATCTCTTTGATATCCCCAGAGTCAAACTTAATGTGTGTAAACACTCTATGCAAATAAAGGGACCCAGTCTATGGAACTCACTCCCTATTGAATTGAAAAGCTGTCCAACTTTTGTGTCATTTAATAACAAAACTAAAAAGTACCTAATTTCATCTTCATAGTTTTATACCTTGTTGCTTTAAAATTGCACTGTATCTATTGCTACCCAATCTCCCAATCTTTATGTACCCAATTCGAACATCTTTATCATTGCGATCATTGCTGTCTTCTTATATGTGCTGTCAATCTGCTGTATGGTGCCTATTAATCTTGTTTAAATTACCAATCAAGCTGTCAATGTAATCAATCAGAGCTTTAATATACCAATGTGCTTTAATATACTTACTAATCTATCTCATCTCATTTTTTTTCTTGCAATGTATTTGTTATCATTTTATTAATTCTGCTAGAATTTACCTACTTAAAATTATCTGTTAGATTAAGGACCTGCCCGAAATGCTGCGCGTACTAGTGGCTTTACAAGAGTGTAATTACTATGCTATGTATTCTCACAAACCCAATGTACCTTCTTGTATATAAATAAATAAAATAAATAAAATGAAATAAAATATCCGTGCAATAAAATTTATTCATGCATTTGATACAGTATAACTTCTGCATTAAAATGGAGAATTAAACAGTTGAGAAGTTTCTGTGTTGTTAAAAATGGGGTTGAAATGCTCTAAATCAGTTTGAGATAAGAAAATTTATAATTAATTAACATGGGACTGGATGAAACATCTTGTAAGGCGAACATAATTGAGTAGGATCTCGTTAAAAATTGAACAGATTCTCAATAAAGTTCACCGATTAGCTGTGAACACATTTTGCAAACTCCAGAACTTGTTCCCTAGAGCACAACACCTTCAGGTTTATTATTTTTACCAACTCAATATAATTTCATTATTAACAGTTTAGAATTCTTAATGTTGAAGGTAATATATAAGAAATTAAATGATGCTATAGTTTGCAATTCTCCTGCTTCCCCCCTCTCATACACTGTTCTCCTCTCTCATACACTGTTCCCCTCTCTCATACACTGTTCTCCTCTCTCATACACTGTTACCCTCTCTCATACACTGTTACCCTCTCTCATACACTGTTACCCTCTCTCATACACTGTTACCCTCTCTCATACACTGTTCTCCTCTCTCATACACTGTTACCCTCTCTCATACACTGTTACCCTCCCTCATACACTGTTACCCTCTCTCATACACTGTTACCCTCTCTCATACACTGTTCCCCTCTCTCATACACTGTTCCCCTCTCTCATACACTGTTACCCTCTCTCATACACTGTTACCCTCTCTCATACACTGTTCCCCTCTCTCATACACTGTTACCCTCTCTCATACACTGTTACCCTCTCTCATACACTGTTACCCTCTCTCATACACTGTTACCCTCTCTCATACACTGTTCCCCTCTCTCATACACTGTTACCCTCTCTCAAACACTGTTACCCTCTCTCATACACTGTTACCCTCTCTCATACACTGTTCCCCTCTCTCATACACTGTTACCCTCTCATACACTGTTACCCTCTCTCATACACTGTTACCCTCTCTCATACACTGTTCCCCCCTCTCATACACTGTTACCCTCTCTCATACACTGTTACCCTCTCTCATACACTGTTACCCTCTCTCATACACTGTTACCCTCTCTCATACACTGTTACCCTCTCTCATACACTGTTCCCCTCTCTCATACACTGTTACCCTCTCTCATACACTGTTACCCTCTCTCATACACTGTTACCCTCTCTCATACACTGTTACCCTCTCTCATACACTGTTACCCTCTCTCATACACTGTTATCCTCTCTCATACACTGTTACCCTCTCTCATACACTGTTCTCCTCTCTCATACACTGTTACCCTCTCTCATACACTGTTACCCTCTCTCATACACTGTTACCCTCTCTCATTCACTGTTCCCCTCTCTCATACACTGTTACCCTCTCTCATACACTGTTACCCTTTCTCATACACTGTTACCCTCTCTCATACACTGTTACCCTTTCTCATACACTGTTACCCTTTCTCATACACTCTTCCCCTCTCTCATACACTCTTCCCCTCTCTCATACACTCTTCCCCTCTCTCATACACTGTTACCCTCTCTCATACACTGTTACCCTCTCTCATACACACTTCCCCTCTTTTATACACTCTTCCCCTCTCTCATACACTCTTCCCCTCTCTCATACACTGTTACCCTCTCTCATACACACTTCCCCTCTCTCATACACTCTTCCCCTCTCTCATACACTGTTCCCCTCTCTCATACACTGTTCCCCTCTCTCATACACACTTCCCCTCTCTCATACACTGTTCCCCTCTCTCATACACACTTCCCCTCTCTCATACACTGTTCCCCTCTCTCATACACTGTTCCCCTCTCTCATACACTGTTCCCCTCTCTCATACACACTTCCCCTCTCTCATACACTGTTCCCCTCTCTCATACACACTTCCCCTCTCTCATACACTCTTCCCCTCTCTCATACACTTCCCCTCTCTCATACACTCTTCCCCTCTCTCATACACTGTTCCCCTCTCTCATACGCACTTCCCCTCTCTCATACACTGTTCCCCTCTCTCATACACACTTCCCCTCTCTCATACACTCTTCCCCTCTCTCATACACTTCCCCTCTCTCATACACTCTTCCCCTCTCTCATACACTGTTCCCCTCTCTCATACGCACTTCCCGTCTCTCATACACTCTTCCCCTCTCTCATACACACTTCCCCTCTCTCATACACACTTCCCCTCTCTCATACACTCTTCCCCTCTCTCATACACTCTTCCCCTCTTCATACACTTTTCCCCTCTCTCATACACTGTTACCCTCTCTCATACACACTTCCCCTCTCTCATACAATGTTCCCCTCTCTCATACACTCTTCCCCTCTCTCATACACACTTCCCCTCTCATACACTGTTCCCCTCTCTCATACACACTTCCCCTCTCTCATACACTGTTACCCTCTCTCATACACTGTTACCCTCTCTCATACACTCTTCCCCTCTCTCATACAGTTACCCTTTCTCATACACACTTCCCCTCTCTCATACACTCTTCCCCTCTCTCATACACTCTTCCCCTCTCATACACTGTTACCCTCTCTCATACACTGTTAACCTTTTTCATACACTTCCCCTCTCTCATACACACTTCCCCCCTCTCATACACACTTCCCCTCTTTCATACACACTTCCCCTCTCTCATACACTGTTCCCCTCTCTCATACACACTTCCCCTCTCTCATACACTCTTCCCCCTCTCATACACTCTTCCCCTCTCTCATACACTTCCCGTCTCTCATACACTCCCCATCCCTAATACACATTTTCACGTTTTTATGCACAATTCTGCCCTCACATAAACATTTACTCCCCCTTCTCATATTCCTTACACAAAGGCCAATATTCTCAGAAACCTGTACAATAGTTGATTACAGTTGTGAGAAGGGACCAAAGAGCTAAAGCTCAACCTCGCAAGCACAACTAGGTGAGTACTCATACACACTTATACTCTCTCATAAAAAGTGTTGTGGTGCAGGCACTGTACATAGCGTGAGACACTATACACAGTGTCACACTGTACACAGTGTGACACTGTACACAGTGAGACACTAACCTCTGGAGGTGGTGCCCCAGCCGGCCGCCCAGGCAGACTTCCCAATAAACTGCTGCTCGCTGAAGCCCAGGTCCTTCTGGGGGTTGAGAGGCAGGCAGATGGGCACCACGTGTACTGTAATACATCATAAAATTAGTACACCAGAGCTTTATTGACGTGTAGGGGAACACACGTGGAGGGGAGCCCACGTGGGAAGTGACAGGTGGCTGTTACAGTTTAGCTGTTGATAAATGATGTAGTCTTGTATTGGATACTTGCGTGCAATCTAAGTTTTTGAGAGAGTGTGCAGTTTTCTACCTGGGAGGCTAGGTTACCCCCCAAGGGTCAAGGGATTAGTGAGGGGAAGGTTAGACAAGATGGCCACGTCTCCCTTGATGTTAATTCAGATTGGAAGTTAAACTGAATGCAAGCAAAGCATGTATGGGATGAAATATCTAGAGCATCTAGGTCTAACAGTATTTATGTCATGGGTGACTTTATTTTATTGGAATAATCTGGCTTAACAGAACAGGGAATAATGAAGCAGAAAATTTTCTAGAATTAATTGACGATTGTTTTCTTACTCAACACATTAAGTCTCGCAGACAGTCTCCGTGGTGTAGTGGTAAGACAGTCGCCTGGCGTTCCGCGAGCGCTATGTCATGGGTTCGTATCCTGGCCGGGGAGGATTTACTGGGCGCAATTCCTTAACTGTAGCCTCTGTTTAACGCAACAGTAAAATGTGTACTTGGATGAAAAAACGATTCTTCGCGGCAGGGGATCGTATTCCAGGGACCTGCCCGGAACGCTACGCGTACTAGTGGCTCTACAAGAATGTAACAACTCTTGTATATTAAAAAACAATAAACAATAAAACAATTAAGGAACCAACGCGGGAAAATAATATTTTAAACTTAGTATTAACTAACAGGGAAACACAAATTAATGACATCGAAATAGGGAGTGACCCAGGGAACAGTGATCACAAAGAAATCAGATTTTGTATAGAATGGAATAGATCTGCAGGGAAAAATTCTGTTCAAGTGCCAGATTTTCGAAAAGCTGATTTTAATAGCCTAAGAATTTTTTTGGGTCAAATAGATTGGAAAGTCTTGGGCAGAGGGGGGCTGGTCTTGGAGCGAGACGTGAACCCAGCGATAGGTGACGTAAATAGGGATTTCGATGTGGATTCAAAATATAACTTATTTAAAAATATTCTAAGTAAAGCACAGGAACGTAGTATACCATACAAATTGAATAAATAGAATACTAATGACTCGAAATGGATAACAAAGGATCTGAAGAACTTTATAGGGAGAAAGAGAGCTTAGTACAAAAGAATTAAGAATGGGAAAGTCAGTTTAGAACAGGAATTTGTAAGGAGTGCAAAAAGAAACTATGAAGTTCATATAGCAGGGCAAGCAAAGACAAATCCTAAAGGGTTCTTTCAGTTATATCGAACAAAGGTTAGGGAAAGGATAGGTCCATTAAAAACTGAGACAGGTCAAATAACGGATAATGACGAGGAGATAAGTAGTATTTTTAATAAATATTTTATCTGTATTTACTAAAGAGGAACTTAACACTATGCCTTCAGCCGAACAAGTCTATGTGGGTGGGGACGAGGACAGGTTGACTAGTTTAGCAGTTACCAGGGAGGATGTTATTATAAAAATAGTGAAACTCAAACCAAACAAATCCCCAGGGCCGGATGAAGTGTTTGCCAGGGTGCTTAAAGAATGCAAAGAGGAGCTTTGTGACCCACTGTCAACCATATTTAATAAATCAATAGAGTCATGGAAGGTTGCTAATGTGGATCCAATTTTCAAGAAAGGAGATAGATCACTTACGTTAAACTATTGGCTAATTAGCTTAACGTCTATTGTGGGAAGGTTAATTGACTCGACAATTGCAAATACTATTCGTCTTCATCTTGAAAAACAAATTAATAAATGATTCACAACATGGGTTTACAAATGGCCGTTCATGTTTAACAAATTTGCTATAATTTTATTCCAGCATAATTGAGGCAGTTGATAGTGGTAAGGTTTGTGATGTTATGTACCTTAACGTTATCAAAGCTTTTGATGCAGTGCCACATGAAAGACTGATTAAAAAAAACTCATGGTATTGGGGGAGCCATGTTAAGTTGGATTAGGGCATGGCTATACCAAAGGAAACAGAGAGTTAGTATAAATGTGGTTAAGTCAGAGTGGGAAAATGTTGTAAGTGGGGTGCCTCAAGGCTCTGTCCTGGGACCTCTGTTATTCATAACATATATAAATGATTTAGATTCAGGTTTCAGCAGCAATATTTGCAAATTTGCCGATAATTCATAATCGGGAGGGAAGTAAACACGGAAAAATACTCTCTATCACTTCAAGACGATATAAATAGGGCTTTGAAATGGTCAAAAGATTGGCAGATGCAGTTTAATGCTGATAAATGTAAAGTTCTGAGGCTAGGTAATGATGATAGAGTTACAAGATACGAGCTAGATGGTGTTGAGATTGCGAAGTCGGATTGCGAAAGGGATCTGGGAGTTATGATTAGTAAGAATTTAAAACCAAAAATTTAACACGTAAATGTTCGTAATAAGGCAAATAGGACACTGGGATTTATTAATCGAAGCGTTACTAATAAGATACCTGGTGATGTTCTTTAGCTATGTTTTGCTCTGGTTAGGCCCCATTTAGATTATGCACTTCAGTTTTGGTCGCCGTATTATAGAATAAATATAAATTCACTAGAACGTGTCCAGCGTAGTATGGCAAAATTATTCCCTCAAATTAGAAACCTGTCATATGAAGAAAGATTAACAAAGCTTAAATTATATTCTCTGGAAAGGCGAACTACCTGCCAGTGTTGTGTGAACCACCACCACCACTACCTGCCAGTGTTGTGTGAACCACCACCACTACCTGCCAGTGTTGTGTGAACCACCACCACTACCTGCCAGTGTTGTGTGAACCACCACCACTACCTGCCAGTGTTGTGTGAACCACCACCACCACCACTACCTGCCAGTGTTGTGTGAACCACCACCACCACCACCTGCCAGTGTTGTGTGAACCACCACCACCACCACCACCACTACCTGCCAGTGTTGTGTGAACCACCACCACCACCACCACCTGCCAGTGTTGTGTGAACCACCACCACCACCACTACCTGCCAGTGTAGCGTGAACCACCACCACCACCACCTGCCAGTGTAGTGTGAACCACCACCACCACTACCACTACCTGCCAGTGTAGCGTGAACCACCACCACCACCACCTGCCAGTGTAGTGTGAACCACCACCACCACCACCACTACCTGCCAGTGTAGCGTGAACCACCACCACCACTACCTGCCAGTGTTGTGTGAACCACCACCACTACCTGCCAGTGTTGTGTGAACCACCACCACCACCTGCCAGTGTTGTGTGAACCACCACCACCACCTGCCAGTGTTGTGTGAACCACCACCACCACCTGCCAGTGTTGTGTGAACCACCACCACTACCACTACCTGCCAGTGTTGTGTGAACCACCACCACCACCTGCCAGTGTAGTGTGAACCACCACCACTACCTGCCAGTGTTGTGTGAACCACCACCACCACTACCTGCCAGTGTTGTGTGAACCACCACCACCACCACCACTACCTGCTAGTGTTGTGTGAACCACCACCACTACCTGCCAGTGTTGTGTGAACCACCACCACCACCTGCCAGTGTTGTGTGAACCACCACCACCACCACCACCTGCCAGTGTTGTGTGAACCACCACCACCACCACCTGCCAGTGTTGTGTGAACCACCACCACCACCACTACCTGCCAGTGTTGTGTGAACCACCACCACCACCACTACCGGCCAGTGTTGTGTGAACCACCACCACCACCACCACTACCTGCCAGTGTTGTGTGAACCACCACCACCACCTGCCAGTGTTGTGTGAACCACCCCCACCACCACCTGCCAGTGTTGTGTGAACCACCACCACTACCTGCCAGTGTTGTGTGAACCACCACCACCACCTGCCAGTGTTGTGTGAACCACCACCACCACCACCACCTGCCAGTGTTGTGTGAACCACCACCACCACCACTACCGGCCAGTGTTGTGTGAACCACCACCACCACCTGCCAGTGTAGTGTGAACCACCACCACCACCTGCCAGTGTTGTGTGAACCACCACCACCTGCCAGTGTTGTATGAACCACCACCACCACCACCTGCCAGTGTAGTGTGAACCACCACCACCACCTGCCAGTGTAGTGTGAACCACCACCACCACTACCTGCCAGTGTTGTGTGAACCACCACCACTACCTGCCAGTGTTGTGTGAACCACCACCACCACCTGCCAGTGTTGTGTGAACCACCACCACCACTACCTGCCAGTGTTGTGTGAACCACCACCACCACCACCACCTGCCAGTGTTGTGTGAACCACCACCACCACCACCACCTGCCAGTGTAGTGTGAACCACCACCACCACCTGCCAGTGTAGTGTGAACCACCACCACCACCACCTGCCAGTGTTGTGTGAACCACCACCACCACCTGCCAGTGTTGTGTGAACCACCACCACCACCTGCCAGTGTAGTGTGAACCACCACCACCACCTGCCAGTGTTGTGTGAACCACCACCACCACCACCACCTGCCAGTGTTGTGTGAACCACCACCACCACCACCTGCCAGTGTAGTGTGAACCACCACCACCACCTGCCAGTGTAGTGTGAACCACCACCACCACCTGCCAGTGTAGTGTCAACCACCACCACCACCTGCTGTGTTGTGTGAACCACCACCAGCACCTGCCAGTGTAGTGTGAACCACCACCACCACCTGCCAGTGTTGTGTGAACCACCACCACCACCTGCCAGTGTAGTGTGAACCACCACCACCACCTGCCAGTGTAGTGTGAACCACCACCACCACCACCTGCCAGTGTAGTGTGAACCACCACCACCACCTGCCAGTGTTGTGTGAACCACCACCACCACCTGCCAGTGTAGTGTGAACCACCACCACCACCTGCCAGTGTAGTGTGAACCACCACCACCACCTGCCAGTGTAGTGTCAACCACCACCACCACCTGCCAGTGTTGTGTGAACCACCACCACCACCTGCCAGTGTAGTGTGAACCACCACCACCACCTGCCAGTGTAGTGTCAACCACCACCACCACCTGCCAGTGTTGTGTGAACCACCATCACCACCTGCCAGTGTAGTGTGAACCACCACCACCACCTGCCAGTGTAGTGTCAACCACCACCACCACCTGCCAGTGTTGTGTGAACCACCACCACCACCTGCCAGTGTAGTGTGAACCACCTGGCACAAACTGTACACACACAAGGGGTGAACCAGTCCGAGACACTAACGCGAGTTCATGGTGGCAGGATGGGCCAGCCTCAGGAGCGCGATGTCGTTACACTCGGGGCACGGCTTCCCGTACTCTGGATGGTTGATCACTTGGGCCACAGGAATGTCTTGGGGCAGAGGAGCACAGATCCCTTTCTCACAGTCCCGGTCCTGGTTCAAGGTGTGTTCCCCGATCCTTACGCTCTCCCTGCGGAGGAAACAAAGTACAAATGTTGACCAGACCACACACTAGAAATGGAAGGGACGACGACGTTTCGGTCCGTCCTGGACCATTCTCACAATCGACTTGAGAATGGTCCAGGACGGACCGAAACGTCGTCGTCCCTTCCATTTCTAGTGTGTGGTCTGGTCAACATACTTCAGCCACGTTATTGTGAAAGTACAAATATAACATATGCAGGGTACGTTCTTTGTCTCTGTTGCAAGATTTACCAGTGCCAGTAATTCATTTCATACATTTTATAATCAAATTGAAGGGTGAAGTGTATTGGCCATGGAGGTAGAATCGAGGTAGAGAGACGGGTACTTACAGGGTGAGCAGGTTGGACTTGAAACAGTGGGCGGCCGTGAGGACGTAGCGGTCAGAGATGAGCACCCCGCCACAGAACCACGTCAACTGTCCTTTAACTGTTGGTATATAATGACTTGTACCAGGCACCGAGACATATAGAGATGTATGTTCGTTATGACAAGATTATTATGACAAAAGAGAGAGAGGTACATAATAGGCACTCTCACACACACACTATAACCACTCTCACACACACTACAGCCACTCACACACACACACACACTATAACCACTCTCACACACACTACAGCCACTCACACACACACACACTATAACCACTCTCACACACACTACAGCCACTCACACACACACTACAACCACTCACACACACACTACAGCCACTCTCACACACACACACACTATAACCACTCTCACACACACACTACAGCCACTCTCACACACACTACAGCCACTCTCACACACACCCACTATAACCACTCTCACACACACAATACAGCCACTCACACACACACACTACAGCCACTCACACACACACAAACACTACAGCCACTCTCACACACACACACTACAGCCACTCACACACACACTACAGCCACTCTCTCACACACACACACTACAGCCACTCACACACACACTACAGCCACTCACACACACACTACAGCCACTCTCACACACACACTACAGCCACTCACACACACACACTACAGCCACTCTCACACACACACTACAGCCACTCTCACACACACACTACAGCCACTCTCACACACACACTACAGCCACTCTCACACACACACACTACAGCCACTCACACACACACACACACACTACAGCCACTCTCACACACACACACACTACAGCTACTCATACACACACACACTACAGCCACTCACACACACACTACAGCCACTCTCACACACACACTACAGCCACTCACACACACACACTACAGCCACTCTCACACACACACACTACAGCCACTCTCACACACACACACTACAGCCACTCACACACACACACACTACAGCCACTCTCACACACACACTACAGTCACTCACACACACACACACTACAGCCACTCTCACACACACACTACAGCCACTCTCACACACACTACAGCCACTCACACACACACACTACAGTCACTCACACACACACACTACAGCCACTCTCACACACACTACAGCCACTCACACACACACACACACTACAGCCACTCACACACACACACACTACAGCCACTCTCACACACACACTATAGCCACTCACACACACACACACACTACAGTCACTCTCTCACACACACACACTACAGCCACTCATACACACACACACTACAGCCACTCACACACACACACACTACAGCCACTCTCACACACACACTACAGCCACTCACACACACACACACTACAGCCACTCTCACACACACACTACAGCCACTCACACACACACACTACAGCCACTCTCACAAACACACACTACAGCCACTCTCACACACACTACAGTCACTCACACACACACACTACAGCCACTCTCACACACACTACAGCCACTCACACACACACTACAGCCACTCATACACACACACACTACAGCCACTCACACACACACACACTACAGCCACTCTCACACACACACTACAGCCACTCACACACACACACACACTACAGCCACTCTCACACACACACTACAGCCACTCACACACACACACTACAGCCACTCTCACAAACACACACTACAGCCACTCTCACACACACTACAGTCACTCACACACACACTACAGCCACTCTCACACACACTACAGCCACTCACACACACACTACAGCCACTCTCACACACACTACAGCCACTCTCACACACACTACAGCCACTCACACACACACTACAGCCACTCTCACACACACTACAGCCACTCACACACACACTACAGCCACTCTCACACACACTACAGCCACTCTCACACACACTACAGCCACTCACACACACACTACAGCCACTCTCACACACACTACAGCCACTCACACACACACTACAGCCACTCACACACACACACTACAGCCACTCACACACACACACTACAGTCACTCACACACACACTACAGCCACTCACACACACACACACTACAGCCACTCTCACACACACACACTACAGCCACTCACACACACACACACTACAGCCACTCTCACACACACACACTACAGCCGCTCACACACACACTACAGCCACTCACACACACACTACAGCCACTCACACACACACACTACAGCCACTCACACACACACACACTACAGCCACTCACACACACACACACTACAACAACTCTCACACACACACTACAGTCACTCACACACACACACACTACAGCCACTCACACACACACACTACAGCCACTCACACACACACACACTACAGCCACTCTCACACACACACACTACAGCCACTCACACACACACACTACAGCCACTCACACACACACACTACAGCCACTCACACACACACACTACAGCCACTCACACACACACACTACAGCCACTCACACACACACACACACTACAGCCACTCACACACACACACACTACAGCCACTCACACACACACACTACAGCCACTCACACACACACACACTACAGCCACTCACACACACTACAACCACTCTCACACACACACTACAGTCACTCACACACACACACTACAGCCACACACACACTACAGCGACTCACACACACACACACACTACAGCCACTCACACACACACACTACAACCACTCTCACACACACACTACAGTCACTCACACACACACACACTACAGCCACTCACACACACACACACTACAGCCACTCACACACACACACTACAGCCACTCACATACACACACACTACAACCACTCTCACACACACACTACAGTCACTCACACACACTACAACCACTCTCACACACACACTACAGTCACTCACACACACACACTACAGCCACACACACACTACAGTCACTCACACACACACACTACAGCCACTCACACACACACACTACAGCCACTCACACACACACACTACAGTCACTCACACTGTTACGGACCCGAGTTCAACGTCCGAGCACGGAGCAGTGACGACCACGCCATCTGTGGGTCAGCTCCCGAAACCCCCTTCAAATGGACGGCGCCATCAAGTGAGGACAGGAAATACCAGCCACAAGGGCTAGTTTCCCGTCATGATCAGCTCATAACACAGCCGCTGCTGACCTCTGGTGAGGTGGTGCTTAGACAGCAACGCCATCTATGGAGTGGATAGGTGGGCGTTTGGGTCTGAGCCGGTAAGTGACATGCCCTAGTGTGTCCCTAGTACTGATGACGTGTCTGATTACAGGATCGACCTGGGACTGCTGTAATGAACGTTGGATGAGTCTACCCAAGGCAGTCGTCTTGTCTCCAAGTGTTTGCTGCAGCAGCTGTGAGTCGCCCCCCCGGATGAACACTGTGGTGTTACCCTGCCTGTGACGAGGCAGTTGAGGGATTGTAGTACCCGGGACTGACTGGTGGAGACGCTTAACCACTGGGGTGTTGTGGCGAGGAGAGTGGTCTGTGGGATCACACGAGGCTCCTGACTAGGGTTCGCGACCTTAGTATCGATCGTGGAGTGGCCTAACCAGCGTCGCTGATTGGAACCTGCCAGCTACCGCCTGGACTTGTGGTTGATGGCCTCCACGACGGTGCCCCCAGTGGAACTGTGATTTAGCTGGCCGGTGGCCAGGGTAGACTCAAGAGGATCGAAGGATTCATCGTGAGGCCACAAGAGGACCAAGAGCTTAGCACCGATGAGCACCGTGAACGTCCAGAGTCTTCAGAAGAAGACAACGTTGTGCATTCTAGTGTTTATACCCCCCCCTGTGTAATCGTTTATATAGTATTTATGGTGATGGTAATAATTATATTATTAAGTTTTTGCCTTTATTTCCCTTCCCCTTTAATTTACTTGCCTTACGGATCACATCCCTTGAAAGCCACTACTAGCTTGGGGCCGGATACCCTACCTCTATTTACATCAGAGAAAGAACCCAGTTGCGACCCGAGAGGGCCGTAACACACACACACACACACACTACAACCATTCACACACACACACACTACAGTCACTCACACACACACTACAGCCACACACACACTACAGCCACTCACACACACACACTACAGCCACTCACACACACACACACACTACAACCACTCTCACACACACACTACAGTCACTCACACACACACTACAACCACTCTCACACACACACTACAGTCACTCACACACACACACTACAGCCACACACTCACTACAGTCACACACACACACACACTACAGCCACTCACACACACACACTACAGCCACTCACACACACACATACACTACAACCACTCACACACACACACTACAACCACACACACACACACTACAGCCACACACACATACACTACAACCACTCACACTCACACACTACAGCCACACACACATACACTACAACCACTCACACACTCCCCCTTCCCCACTGACATCTGCCTCGTAGGAGGGCCATCCAGGGCCAGGCCAGGAGGGGGGCGTCGTGCCCGTCAATGATCCTGTCAGTAAGGGCGGAGACGCCGCAGGAGGTGGGCAGGACGGGCTTCACCAGATTCCCCGGCCCCGGGGCAGCGGGTCCAGGAGACGAGCAGCACACCAGAGGGAAGTTGTTGTCGAAGCCACAGATGGCGCTGTGGAGGATGGAACAGTTATTGTGGTCACGCACCTTTGTATGTGGTCACACACCTTTGTATGTGGCCGCGCATCTTTGTATGTGGCCGCGCATCTTTGTATGTGGCCGCGCATCTTTGTATGTGGCCGCGCATCTTTGTGTGTGGCCACACACCTTTCTATGTGGCCACAGACAAACAAGACAGCAGAGACATGATCATAACATCATAGATTGTTACATTCACTGTAACTATTTACTGACACAAATAATGTTTTTTTCCAAGAGTAGAAACAGATGATACTGTAATAGTGTAATACTGAGCAAGTCCAGTGTGCATGAGCAAGGGTTGGACGGGAGGAAGTGTAATACTGAGCAAGTCCATCATGAGCAGGGGTTGGACGGGAGGCAATGTAACAGTGAACAAGTCCAGAGAGCATGAACAGGGGGTTGGACGTACACAGAGAGGAAGGGGGACTTACCTGCGCAAGGTGTCGACTGCTTGCGGGGGCGCCCGTCCTGCCTTTATCAGGTTGAGGAGAGTGAGGAGCGCGGGACAGTTGATGATGGGCCCACACACGCCCCGCCGGCCCCTCGCCGTACAACCTGCCACACACACATACTTAATAACTGCCACACTCTGGTAGATGGCAGAGAGGCGAGGCACGCCAACCTGGCCAAGGGTGACCAGTATACACACCAACATGTAGTGAGACATAATTGGGGGATAGAGATGTAGAAACAACAGTTTCTACAAATATTTACTTGCAAATTGTTTTAAGTAATCAAGGTACAGTACTTTAAATTTGAGTTTAAATCCTTAGAAAGTATGTGAAGGGAAATACATTTGTACTGTACTTCCTGTGGCGTCCAATACAGCTGCTTGCAGAATATAGGAAAGAGAACAGAGTTAAAAAAAATAGTTTTAACTAAATGTGTTTGAGCAATATACAGTTTTCTTACCAATATACAGTTGATGTTCTTACCATGTTTTAAGATCAACTGGGAAGAGATTACTGGAATCAAAATACAAAACGTGGGTTTTGATACAGCAATTTACAAAACTATAGTATTTTTGTAAATCTCTAATTAAATGTGCAATCAATAGAAATAAAGAACAAAAAATAACTTGAAATATTAAGTACACGTGTGTGTGTGTGTACTCACGTATTTGTACTCACCTATTTGTGCTTGCAGGGGTTGAGCTTTGGCTCTTTGGTCCCGCCTCTCAACTGTCAATCAACTGGTGTACAGAATCCTGAGCCTACTGGGCTCTATCATATCTACATATAAAACTGTGTATGGAGTCAACCTCCACCACATCACTGCCTAGTGCATTCCACCTGTTAACCACTCTGACACTGAAAAAGTTCCTTCTTACGTCCCTGTGGCTCATATGGGTACTCAGTTTCCACCTGTGTCCCCTTGTGTCGCGTCCCACCTGTGTTGAATAGTTTATTCTTGTTTACCCGGTCGATTTCCCTGCGGATTTTGTAGGTTGTGATCATGTCCCGCCTTACTCTTCTGTCTTCCAGTGTCGTAAGGTGCATTTCCCGCAGCCTTTCCTCGTAACTCATGCCTCTTAGTTCTGGGACTAGTCTAGTGGCATACCTTTGGACTTTTTCCAGCTTCGTCTTGTGCTTGAAGGTACGGGCTCCATGCTGGGGCCGTATACTCCAGGATTGGTCTTACATATGTGGTGTACAAGATTCTGAATGATTCCTTACACAGGTTCCTGAACGCTGTTCTGATGTTAGCCAGCCTCGCATATGCCGCAGACGTTATTCTTTTTATGTGGGCTTCAGGAGACAGGTTTGGTGTGATATCAACTCCTAGATCTTTCTCTCTGTTCGTTTCATTAAGTACTTCATCTCCTATTCTGTATCCTGTGTTTGGCCTCCTATTTCCACCACCTAGTTTCATTACTTTGCATTTACTCGGGTTGAACTTCAACAGCCATTTGTTGGACCATTCACTCAGTCTGTCTAGGTCATCTTGTAGCCTCCTACTATCGTCCTCAGTTTCAATCCTCCTCATAATTTTTGCATCATCGGCAAACATTGAGAGAAACGATTCTATACCCTCTGGAAGATCATTTACATATATCAGAAACAGTATAGGTCCAAGGACTGACCCCTGCGGTACTCCACTCGTAACGTCTCGCCAATCTGAGACCTCACCCCTCACACTGACTCGTTGTCTCCTGTTACTTAGGTACTCCTGTATCCAACGGAGTACCTTCCCTTTCACTCCAGCCTGCATCTCCAGTTTTTTCACTAGCCTCTTGTGTGGCACTGTGTCAAAGGCTTTCTGACAATCCAAAAATATGCAGTCTGCCCACCCTTCTCTTTCTTGCCTTATTTTTGTTGCCTGGTCGTAGAATTCAAGTAACCCTGTGAGGCAGGACCTGCCATCCCTGAATCCATGTTGATGCTGTGTTACAAAATTCTTTCGCTCCAGATGTTCCACTAGCTTTCTTCGCACAATCTTCTCCACCAACTTGCATGGTATGCAGGTTAGGGACACTGGTCTGTAATTCAGTGCCTCCTGTCTATCCCCTTTCTTGTATATCGGGACTACGTTAGCTGCTTTCCAAATTTCTGGCAGTTCCCCTGTTGCCAGTGATTTGTTATACACCATGGAGAGCGGGAGGCACAGTTCTTCTGCTCCTTCCTTTAGTATCCAAGGGGAGATTCCATCTGGACCTATAGCCTTTGTCACATCCAATTCTAGTAAACACTTCCTTACTTCCCCGCTGGTAATCTCAAACTCTTCCGGTGTAGAATCTCAAATCTCAAACAAACTGTGTGTGTGTGTGTGTGTGTGTGTGTGTGTGTGTGTGTGTGTGTGTGTGTGTGTGTGTGTGTGTGTGTGTGTGTGTGTGTGCGTGTGTATTCACCGAGTTGTGTTTGCGGGGGTTGAGCTTTGCTCTCAGCCAGCTGGCTCTTTTGCTCAAAGCCAGCCTGGCTGGCTTTGATATGTGCTGCAGGAGACAGGTCTGGCGTGATATCAACCCCCAAGTCTTTTTCCTTCTCTGACTCCTGAAGAATTTCCTCTCCCAGATGATACCTTGTATCTGGCCTCCTGCTCCCTACACCTATCTTCATTACATTACATTTGGTTGGGTTAAACTCTAACAACTATTTGTTCGACCATTCCTTCAGCTTGTCTAGGTCTTCTTCAAGCCTCAAACAGTCCTCTTCTGTTTTAATCCTTCTCATAATTTTGGCATCGTCCGCAAACATTGAGAGAAATGAATCTATACCCTCCGGGAGATCATTTACATATATCAGAAACAAGATAGGACCGAGTACAGAGCCCTGTGGGACTCCACTGGTGACTTCACGCCAATCGGGGGTCTCACCCCTCTTCGTAACTCTCTGCTTCCTATTGCTTAGGTACTCCCTTATCCACTGGAGCACCATACCAGCTACACCTGCCTGTCTCTCCAGCTTATGTACCAGCCTCTTATGCGATACTGTGTCAAAGGCTTTCCGACAATCCAAGAAAATGCAGTCAGCCCAGCCCTCTCTTTCTTGCTTAATCTTTGTCACCTGATCATAGAATTCTATCAAGCCTGTAAGGCAAGATTTACCCTCCCTGAACCCATGTTGACGATTTGTCACGAAGTCTCTTCTCTCCAGATATGATACCAGGTTTTTTCTCACGATCTTCTCCATCACCTTGCATGGTATACAAGTCAAGGACACTGGCCTGTAGTTCAGTGCCTCTTGCCTGTCGCCCTTTTTGTATATTGGGACTACATTCGCCATCTTCCATATTTCTGGTAGGTCTCCCGTCTCCAGTGACCTACTATACACTATTGTGTGGCAAGCAAAGTGCCTCTGTACACTCTTTCAGTACCCATGGTGAGATCCCATCTGGACCAACAGCCTTTCTAACATCCAGATCTAGCAGGTGTCTCTTGACCTCCTCTCTCGTAATTTCGAACTCTTCCAAGGCCGCCTGGTTTACTTCCCTTTCTCCTAGCACAGTGACCTCACCTTGTTCTGCTGTGAAGACCTCCTGGAACCTCTTGTTGAGTTCCTCACACACCTCTTTGTCATTCTCTGTATACCTGTCCTCGCCTGCTCTAAGTTTCATTACCTGTTCTTTCACTGTTGTTTTCCTTCTGATGTGACTGTGGAGTAGCTTTGGTTCGGTCTTGGCTTTGTTTGCTATATCATTTTCATAACTTTTCTCTGCTTCTCTTCTCACCCTGACATACTCATTCCTGGTTCTCTGGTATCTCTCTCTGCTTTCTGGTGTTCTGTTATTCCGGAAGTTCCTCCACGCCCTTATGTTCAGTTTCTTCGCTTCCATACATGCCCTATTATACCATGGATTCTTCATTTGCTTCTCGGATTTTTCATTTTGGGCCGGGATGAACCTGTTTACTGCCTCCTGACACTTTTGGGTGACATAGTCCATCATATCTTGTACAGACTTAGCTCTGAGGTCTGTGTCCCAAGGTATTTCCCTTAGGAAGCTTCTCATATCCTCATAATTTCCCTTTCGGTATGCCTGCCTTTTGTTTCCTAGTTCGTTTTTGGGGATATAATTCCTAGCTCTACCAGGTACTCAAAGTTCAATACACTGTGATCACTCATTCCCAAGGGTGCTTCCATCTTGACTTCCCTTATATTCCACTCATTTAGGGTAAATATCAGATCAAGCATTGCTGGTTCATCTTCTCCTTTCATTCTTGTTGGTTCCTTGATGTGCTGGCTTAGAAAGTTTTTTGTTGCCACGTCCAGCAGCTTAGCTCTGCATGTTTCTGGTCCTCCATGCGGGTCTCTGTTCTCCCAATCTATCTTCCCATGGTTGAAGTCTTCCATGATTAGTAGTCTGGATCCATTCCTGCTAGCAACAGAAGCTGCTCTCTCTATTATGTTAATGGTGGCCATGTTGTTTCTATCATATTCCTGTCTGGGTCTTCTGTCATTTGGTGGTGGATTATATATGACTACGACTATAATTTTTTGCCCTCCAGTTGTTATTGTTCCTATTATGTAGTCACTGAAACCTTCACATCCCTGAACAACCAACTCCCCTCCTCCTGTGTACTCACCTAGTACTCACCTAGTTGTGCTTGCGGGGGTTGAGCTCTGGCTCTTTGGTCCCGCCTCTCAACTGTCAATCAACAGGTGTACAGGTTCCTGAGCCTATTGGGCTCTATCATATCTACACTTGAAACTGTGTTTGGAGTCAGCCTTCACCACATCACTTCCTAATGCCTTCCATTTGTCAACCACTCTGACACTAAAAAAGTTCTTTGTGTGTGTGTGTGTGTGTGTGTGTGTGTGTGTGTGTGTGTGTGTGTGTGTGTGTGTGTGTGTGTGTGTGAGTGAATGTGTAGAATGTGAATGTGTGTGAATGAGCAAGCACGTTGTTGTTGTTAGAGACTCAGCTCATCGGAACATAAGTTCCAAGTATCACGGTCTATGGTGAGCCCGTAGAGCGTGCAGGCTTGAGAAAGATAGTAAGAGAGCATGAAGATAGTGTTGACCATCACTTACTGGCTCCTTGCTGTGCGTCACAACCCACCGTCACCATCGCTGTCACCATCATCATCATCGCCGTGAACCGACCCATTATCACACCTGCGGATCAAATATCACCATTAGTCATCACTAATATATATATATATATATATATATATATATATATATATATATATATATATTTTTTTTTTTTTAAGTTTGTGAGGGTACCACCTCTGGTGCCAATGTGGGGACCCATAGCCTCGGAGAAGAAAATAAAAAGTATTCAGAGGAGACCTTGTGGTTTCTCACTGAACACTAATATTATCTTCTCCTACCACCCCCATTCTTTTGTATGTACATATATATATTTACTTTATTTGAACTTTGTTACAAAAAAGGAGTTACATATGGGTTACAAAGATGGTTATCATAGGTTGTCGAGTTCCTCCAGCTCCTCAGATGGCGGGCAGGAACCCTGGATGCAGTGCGCATTTCCCCTCTGTATCGCCACACTGAGGCGCTGGAAAAGAAAGCTTGCAGCTCTCGGTTCCCTTGTTGTTTCAATGAGGCTAGAACCCAGTTCCTTCAAAATATATATATTATATATATATATATATATATATATATATATATATATATATATATATATATAACTGAAAATTCCATACCCCAGAAGGATTCGAACACCAGATAGCCAGGAGCGCTATGCACCTTGGCGTACATGGTACCTTAGCCACTAGACCAGAACGACTCTACAAAAATCTTGGTAGTCGTGAGACTATTTATCCAAGATCTGAGAGTGCTCGGTGGTCAACTCGCTATCCTTGCTATCTAGGTTCGAATCCTTCTGGGGTGTTGAGTTTTCAGTTGCATATTGTCTTAGGGACTACTCGCTATACACTTACTTTACACCTCTCTATACACTGTAGAGGTTCGCTATACACTTACTATACACCTGCTTGCTTGATACCTGGTTGATGGGGTTCTGGGAGTTCTTCTACTCCCCCAAGCCCGGCCCGAGGCCAGGCTTGACTTGTGAGAGTTTGGTCCACCAGGCTGTTGCTTGGAGCGGCCCGCAGGCCCACCACAGCCCGGTTGGTCCGGCACTCCTTGAAGGAAACAATCTAGTTTCCTCTTGAAGATGTCCACGGTTGTTCCGGCAATATTTCTTATGCTCGCTGGGAGGATGTTGAACAACCGGGGACCTCTGATGTTTATACAGTGTTCTCTGATTGTGCCTATGGCACCTCTGCTCTTCACTGGTTCTATTCTACATTTTCTTCCATATCGTTCACTCCAGTACGTTGTTATTTTACTGTGCAGATTTGGGACCTGTCCCTCCAGTATTTTCCATGTGTATATTATTTGGTATCTCTCTCGTCTCCTTTCTAGTGAGTACATTTGGAGGGCTTTGAGACGATCCCAATAATTTAGGTGCTTTGTCGCGTCTATGCGTGCCGTATATGTTCTCTGTATTCCCTCTATTTCAGCAATCTCTCCTGCTCTGAAGGGGGAAGTGAGTACTGAGCAGTACTCGAGACGGGACAACACAAGTGACGAAGAGTACAACCATTGTGATGGGATCTCTGGACTTGAAAGTTCTCGTAATCCATCCGATCATTTTCTGGCTGACGCAATATTTGCTTGGTTATGCTCCCTAAACGTTAGGTCGTCAGACATCATTATTCCCAAATCCTTTACATGCTGTTTTCCTACTATGGGCAGATTCGATTGTGTTTTGTACCCTGTATTATGTTTCAGATCCTCATTTTTGCAACCCGTTCTCGCAAATTAATAAGTCAATATTGACTTAATAAATATGTGCATAGGTGACATACTTAACATAATAGATACCCTTAAAAAGATTCATAGAAAACACCGACCTTACCTAACCTTGTTAGTATCTTAAGATAAGCATCTTATTGCTTCGTAATTACAATTATTACTTAACCTATAATAGGTATAGGTTAAGTAATAATTGTAATTACGAAGCAATAAGATGCTTACCTTAAGATACTAACAAGGTTAGGTAAAGTCGGTGTTTTCTATGAATCTTTTTAGGGGTATCTATTATGTTTAGTATATCACCTATGCACGTAGTTAATAAGTCAATATTGACTTTACGAATTTGCGAGAACGGGTTGCATTTTTGCCGTATCTGAGTACCTGGAATTTATCACCGTTAAACATCATGTTATTTTCTGCTGCCCAATCGAAAACTTTGTTAATTTCTGTTTGTAGTTTATCAATGTCTTCAGCAGAGGTAATTTTCATGCTGAATTTTGTATCATCTGCAAAGGATTACACGAAGCTGTGACTTGTGTTTTTGTCTATATCTGATATGAGAATAAGGAACAGCAGTGGTGCAAGGACTGTACCTTGAGGTACAGAGCTTTTAACTGCGCTCGGACTCTATTTTACTTGATTTACCAGAAAAATATCTTAAATTAACCTTTTGGTTGTTGTCACCTTTACTTAAACAATAATGCCCTACATATAATCAACCTATATGTGCCACAGAGTAAACTTGACCTTCATACTCTCCCTGAACTTGTCAATGAAGAACCTACCCTGCTGGTCGATGATCTTAAGTTCTCACTACAATGCTGTACTGTAAGTTTCCCTGTGTCCCCCCCATTCCATTCTGAGTTTAAAGATGTTCTCTGATTCTCAGTAACTAAATGAAAGAGTTGTTATAAATTATTCCAAGAATTAATTTCTAAATATTGCCTACGTCACTCGAGTAATTATTATTGGACTCAAGTCTTCCCTGAGAGGCCAATAATTTCAGTCACACCCTGTAAATATTATTAATCATTCAGGATAGCAACAGACTGGCTTTCCCAGTTTCAACAATTCAGTTAACATAGAGCTGGTGAGAACATTTTGGGGTCAAAGTGGGCTTCGTAAGCTGTGTTAAGCTGGGGACATTAATGGGGTTATACCCTTGTGCTATAATATAGTTAGTGTATAGCAAGCCTCTAGAGTGTATAGGGGGATGTGGAGGGAGTGTATAGTGCCTCTACAGTGTATAGGGGGGGTGTAGAGGGAGTGTAGCGAGCCTCTACAGAGTATAGGGGGGTGTGGAGGGAGTGTATAGTGCCTCTACAGTGTATAGGGGGGTGTAGAGGGAGTGTAGCGAGCCTCTACAGAGTATAGGGGGGTGTGGAGGGAGTGTATAGTGCCTCTACAGTGTATAGGGGGGTGTAGAGGGAGTGTAGCGAGCCTCTACAGAGTATAGGGGGGTGTGGAGGGAGTGTAGCGAGCCTCTACAGTGTATAGGGGTGTGTGTAGAGTGTATAGCGAGCCTCTACAGAGTATAGCTGGGTGTGGAGGGAGTGTATAGTGCCTCTACAGTGTATAGGGGTGGTGTAGAGGGAGTGTAGCGAACCTCTACAGTGTATAGGGGGGTGTAGAGTGTATAGCGAGCCTCTACAGTGTATAGGGGGGTGTGTAGAGTGTATAGCGAGCCTCTACAGTGTATAGGGGTGTGTGTAGAGTGTATAGCGAGCCTCTACAGTGTATAGGGGGGTGTGTAGAGTGTATAGCGAGCCTCTACAGTGTATAGGGGGTGTGTAGAGTGTATAGCGAGCCTCTACAGTGTATAGGGGGGTGTAGAGGGAGTGTAGCGAGCCTCTACAGTGTATAGTGCCTCTACAGTGTATAGGGGGGTGTAGAGGGAGTGTATAGTGCCTCCACAGTGTATAGGGGGGTGTAGAGGGAGTGTAGCTAGCCTCTACAGTGTATAGGGGGGTGTAGAGGGAGTGTATAGTGCCTCTACAGTGTATAGGGGGGTGTACAGGGAGTGTATAGTGCCTCCACAGTGTATAGGGGGGTGTAGAGGGAGTGTAGCTAGCCTCTACAGTGTATAGGGGGGTGTAGAGGGAGTGTATAGTGCCTCTACAGTGTATAGGGGGGTGTAGAGGGAGTGTATAGTGCCTCTACAGTGTATAGGGGGTGTAGAGGGAGTGTATAGTGCCTCCACAGTGTATAGGGGGGTGTAGAGGGAGTGTAGCTAGCCTCTACAGTGTATAGGGGGGGTGTAGAGGGAGTGTATAGTGCCTCTACAGTGTATAGGGGGGTGTAGAGGGAGTGTAGCTAGCCTCTACAGTGTATAGGGGGTGTAGAGTGTATAGCGAGCCTCTACAGTGTATAGGGGGGTGTAGAGTGTATAGCGAGCCTCTAGAGTGTATAGGGGGGTGTAGAGGGAGTGTAGCGAGCCTCTAGAGTGTATAGTGGGGTGTAGAGGGAGTGTAGCGAGCCTCTAGAGTGTATAGGGGGGTGTAGAGGGAGTGTAGCGAGCCTCTAGAGTGTATAGGGGGGTGTAGAGGGAGTGTAGCGAGCCTCTAGAGTGTATAGGGGGGTGTAGAGGGAGTGTAGCGAGCCTCTAGATTGTATAGGGAGGGTAGCGAGCCTCTAGAGTGTATAGGGGGTGTAGAGGGAGTGTAGCGAGCCTCTAGAGTGTATAGGGGGGTGTAGAGGGAGTGTATAGTGCCTCTACAGTGTATAGGGGGGTGTTGAGGGAGTGTAGCGAGCCTCTAGAGTGTATAGGGGGGTGTAGAGGGAGTGTATAGTGCCTCTACAGTGTATAGGGGGGTGTAGAGGGAGTGTATAGTGCCTCTACAGTGTATAGGGGGGTGTAGAGGGAGTGTATAGTGCCTCTACAGTGTATAGGGGGGTGTAGAGGGAGTGTATAGTGCCTCTACAGTGTATAGGGGGGTGTAGAGGGAGTGTAGCGAGCCTCTATCCTGGAGAGTGTTGCCAGCGGCAGGCCCATGTTATCTCTAGTGTCGGCTGGGCCTTCCCCACCAGGTGGTGGTGTCTCTGCTCCTCTCACACTGCTTCTCTCACACTGCTCCTCTCACACTGCTCCTCTCACACTGCTCCTCTCACACTGCTCCTCTCACACTGCTCCTCTCACACTGCTCCTCTCACACTGCTCCTCTCACACTGCTCCTCTCACACTGCTCTTCTCACACTGCTCTTCTCACACTGCTCCTCTCACACTGCTCCTCTCACACTGCTCTTCTCACACTGCTAATCTCACACTGCTCCTCTCACACTGCTCCTCTCACACTGCTCTTCTCACACTGCTCATCTCACACTGCTCCTCTCAC